TTTTTTAATTATTAATACAACTATATTTCTTTTCAAAAAAAAAAAAACTATTTCAGTCAATATTTTTATTCAAAATTATATATTTAAGCTCCACAAATCAAGTAAAACTTCCTGAATTTTCCATCAAAAACTATTTTGGTGAAAATGCTTATCTGAAATTAGATATTTTAACCCTAAAAATGAAGCGAAACATCTTGAATTTTTCAAAATAATCGCTTAATTTTTTTAAACTTAGAATATAATTATTTCAGGCAAAATTCTTCTCCTAAATAACATTATATTTAATTATTTTGTAATTAAATTTAAAAAGTTCTTGCCGAATTATATTAATATTTTAATAATATATTAATTTGGTCAAGATTTTTGACATAATTAGTCAAATAAAAAAGTTTCCTTAATAACATTTTTTGGTTAAATTTTTTGCTGAAATTATCCACTTTTTCAAATATGGATACCTGGAAGTTTCCGATGTCAATTTGTGGGGAAAATGCATTCAATGGCGGGACCGATGGGAGTTATTGCTGGTTCTTGCTTGGAAGAAAGTCTTTAATAATGAAGAAGTGGACGGGGAACGATTATTCAACCCAATGTTTTCAAAATCGAACCGGAAGTCAAATTATTTTGACTTTTGGTTCATAATTTTAATGGTTCAATCGGTTTAACTGATAAAAAAATTGGGCTGATTAAATTTTGAAAATATATATTAAATTAAATATAATGCAACTTATATTAAAAAATTACTTGTGGTGCTAATGGTTAGAACTTTTAATTTTTTTGAGGAGAATCATAGTTCGAAATCTCACAAGTGACAAAGTTGTTCAATTTATGTAATTCTACCATAAATATATCTTAACGCATGGTTTGACAACAAATTTGAATCAAATCAAGTGACACGAATCTAGTTGAGCATTCAAGAGGGCTAGTGTTCAAACCTCATCAAACTCATTTTTCCTTTAAAATCTTTACAGTATTCTTTAAAAGATATTCTTTGCAACTTACCTCACAAGAGATGGGGTGGGTAAGTGGCAAATGGCTTGTTTACCCTTCATGAGACCTGCTGTTCAAAACCCAGTGGAGACAAATTTGTGAGAATTTTGTCCCAAGAGTTGACCCGACCAGTTTGACGGGTTATTAGTCCTCATCGATTTGAACGGTCTAAGCGGTTTTAAATGGTTCAATAGCTTAAATGGTTTAAAATATTCAATCGACTTATTTTTTACATCGGGTGTTGGTTTAACCGATTCAACTGACCAGTCCAGTCCGATTTTCAAAACCTTGATTCAACCTAATTCAGGCTTAGATCTTTATGGTGGATCAAGGGGGAGGATGGTGGCGTGTGAACTCTTCCTTTCGGATGGGCTGCAGGATTCTATCTCTCGCTTACAGTATGGTTAAAATCTAAAAATTAACGAAACAACAATTGATTGGCAGGATTTGACTTAATTTTAAGTTTATTTAATCAAAAATCAAATTAAATTGATTATAAATTATTTCAATTTTGACTAATAAGTCTAAAAATTTAAAAATTAATGATTAAGTGAGTATAACAAAAAAAAAATTGAATAAAAAACCTTTTATATAAAATGTTTAATAATTTTTAAATTTTTTAAAGATTTTTTAATTACTTTTCATCAAATTACCTTATTATTTCGGTATTTTTTAAGTTTTTAGTGATTGAAATTAATAAAATAATAAATAATAAATTCAAAAATTATTAGAAAATATAAAAATAATTTTTTAATTAAAACCAAAATTGATTTGAATAATTATTCTAAAAAATGTAATTAAAATTGATAAAATTTGTATTTTTGGTTTGATTCATGATTCTAAAATTAAAAACCCAAAACTTTGGTTAATCAGTAATTTGGGTTTGGATCAAAACTAAATCATATTTACCGTTAGTAAAAACTATTTTGGTCAATATTCTTATCAAAATTAGATATTTTACCTCCACATATCAATTATAACTTCCTAAATCTTTCATCAACTATTTTAGCCAAAATACTTGTTTGAAATTAGATATTCTAATTTTAAAAATCAAGTGAAACATTTTGAATTTTTCAAAATTGTCTCCTAAATTTTTTTTAAACTTAAAATATATTTATTCAAGGCTAAATTCTTCTCCGAAATAACATTATATATAACTATTTTGTAATTATATTGGAGGAAAGTTCATGCCAAAATTATATTAAAATTTTAATAATATATTAATTCGATTAAGATTTTTGATCGAATAAGTCAAATAAAGAAGTTTCCTTAATAACAGTTTTTGGTTAAAATTTTTGACCAAAATTGTCCACTTTTTCGAATATGATACCTGGAAGTTTCTGATGTCAATTACGGGGTAAATGCTTTCGATGGCAGGGAGTGATGCGAGTTATTGCTCGTTCTTGCTTGGTGGAAAGTCTTCAATAATGAAGAAGTGGTGGGGTGTGAAGTGTGAACTTTTCCCTTCGGATGGGCTGCAGGATCATATCTCTAGCTTATGGTGTGGCTAGCTTGCTAGTTAGACTTGCATCTTTTTTTCTTTTTTTTTTTCTTTTATCAAGGCCAATTTTTAGGGGAGGGGGAATTAAACCCAGTTTATGGGGTTGGATGACATACATCGTTACCAAACGACCTATAAGATCAGGTATGTGTTAGGCTTGCATTTTGTTTTGGGCAAATTATTGTACGATGTTGATTTGACCATTGTTTGTTTTAATATATGTAATTATTTATAAATTAATTAAAAGATAAAAAAAAATTGTTGTGAGACTTAAAAGTGCAATTTATAAAAGGTAAATAATTCTAACTCATGATTCAAGGTCACTAATCATTGTTATTAATTAGATTTAAATACCTTTGTATTCATATAATAATAAATTTTTTGTTTTTTACAAAAAAAAAAAAAGAAATAATTTATCTTGAAAAACAGTGGATTTTGTGAGAAGCAAGCAAGCAATAAAATTTTTAAGAGTATCCTATTAAAATTATTTAAAGAGGTATTAGTTGCAAGGTATATATAATTTAATCTCACCATCCAATCCAAAAACAAAAGAAAAGAAAAACTAGCGCCAAAATTTACACTAGAAATTTTTTACAAAAAAGAAGTTTATATTGAATCTATTAATAAGTGGTGTCTTAAAAATAAGATTTAAAATTTAAAATTTAAAATTAATACTTAAAAACATTAATTTTTTTAAATATATTAAATTAATGAGATTGTATTTTGAAAATTATTTTAAAAAAATTAATTTTAAAATACATAAAAATTAAACAGAAGACATCTTTATCTTAAATTATTTAAAAAAAATAA